ATTACACTTCACGGCGAAAACAATGATTCTGTTGAATGCCTACGTGACAAATGAATAAAAACAAAAATGCAAATATTGTAAAATTAAAACAGATTAAAGCGTATAGGAACAATATCAGGCCATTACCTTGTTCGAGGAATGCATCCATCAATATCCACAAAACTTAAAGTTCCAAATGATGTGTCTTTTAACAGCTTAATATACGAAAAAGTGATAAATCTTTTCAGGCATTGGTGTATAGTCCTCATTGGTCACCCAAGATAGCACACCTGGCAAACTAATTGCATAATGTCCGGCCTTTCTTTAAAAAACAGTAATTTAGTTAGCCAATAATGGGCAATCAATCAATGTATTGCCGGTTAATCCTTTGAAAGAAGGGACGTTGTTTTACGCAGACACTGACACGACAGAGTGTATTCAGTATAGATTAGTAAATCTACATACATAAACACTACCTTTGACAATTCCGCTGTGTAAGATAAAAGTAATTAATCAATCAGCGTGTTATCGGTTAATCCTTTGATCGATGTTTATAATGTTGAATATTTACTCCAGACACAAGAAATGCCAAATGGGAACCTTTGTCGGGTAATCTATGTTACCACTAATTATACCTGTTATAAATTCATTAACTGACCATCAAGTGAATGATGACAAGTAACATGTGTAGGTTTATACCAATTCCCAACACGGGTTACAACAATGGGAGTATTAATTGCTGTATTGCATGAAAACTTATGGGCCGACACTGTTTTGAGAATACAAACAGATTTTACATGACATGATTAAATATCGAGGTAAAAAAACACAGAAATGGGATCAATTTGGATCAGTCATTATACAAATAGGGCCTAACGACACCAATCGATTTTGACAGAATCGTCTATGAAAACAAGTTGTAACTCGAAACTAGGGCAAAAGCAGGAGACAAAATTAAATGACAGTAGATTGTGAGAACATATAGCTTTCATTTTCCACAACAATTGTCACGATTTCAGGTTTATACAAGCCTGTAAACAAGATAATTTAACCCCTAAAATGTAGATGAATTCTGCATCGGCCCTCAAAGCTATTCCTCATATGACGTCACAGAGTCGCGCCGCCTGATTGGTTGAAATTTCCTTCGCGGGTGAGAAATTGTGCACCGTTGTCAAAAAAGGTCGATTTAAGTCAATTAAAGGTCGAAATGAGTAGTTTTAATGACGGGTTTCATTTATAACGATGCCAGTTAGTGATTTATGTATTTGTACCCCTAGGGTTTATGTGACCTTTTTAAGAAGGTTAGGACTTAGACTTGACTTAGAATGGGGCGGCTAGAAACGAATGCGTAATCTGTATTTATCACTTCAGCTGAGACAGCGTTTCTCTTTAGCATAATTGGGGGCAACATAATTCCCTGCTACAGAACGACGACAGATGGTGCAATAATCTTTTTGATTCAAAATCTTATAGTACCAAACTGGAAAGAAATACTTTTTCATGCATGTTTCAAGCCTATGTAGTCCCGGGGTCCTAAAGCAAATTTAGTTGGGTATCGGGAAGTACAGACTGCCACAGTTCTTTAATGTTGAAGCTTGTAGCAGATGTCACTGGGGTTATGCCTTTCAAAGTAAGGAGCCCCTGCATGTCATGCATATAAAATCAACGACACCTTCACTCCCACCACACCTCCTTAACACATAATTTTGTAATGTTTTTTATGCACAAAATTGCTGACCCCCAAGTACATGTGTGCAAAGGTGATGCCCTCCCTACCTCCCCAGAACAAAACCCACAGAGTGAAAGGTGACACTATTCTTCCGCCATCACCCAACTGTTCTGTCATAAAATAAAAATACTAAATGCAAAGCACGTTGTACCTCTCAAACAAAACAAAACTGGCAATCTTGGAGGAATTGTGTCTCCAGAATTAATTCCACGCACGCATAATGTGTGAAGGTATGGAACATGGTGCAGGGAATAAAAAGCAAAGGATCAAAGTTCGTTGCTTCTTACCATCTTTTAAAGATGGTGACAGATTTTAATAACTGACAAATCTAAAATTACAGCATACAAAATTCAAGATTCAGTTTATTCCTTCCTTTGAAAATGTTTCATCTGTATGGATAATAGTATATACTTCTTCTCATAGTATGCACTGGCATTTTCATTAGTGGTATGCTCGCAAAATGGAATATCCCTTCTTTACATTTTTAATTGTATATAAACGATATATATCACCTTTTCAGATTCCTCATTCCTGCCTTCAGTACAACCATTCCATCTTTCGAGAGCAATTACTCAAACAGAAGCGCTATGGTCATAAGGAAGTGGAGTGGAGTGAGTGGAGTTTGACGCCAAGCTTTTTAACAATATTTCAGCAATATCAATGGCGGGGGATACCACCGAAATGGGCTTCACCACTACTGTAGCCAAGGTGGGGAATCGAACCCGGTCTTCGGCGTGACGAACAACGCTTTGAAATCACTAGGCTACCCCACTCCCTATATAAGGGAAGTAAGAAGTGGTGATGATCCTCTCAAAACACTCATTATTATCCATATCAACATTGAAGTCAACTCCAAGATATATCTCCCAATATTTTCAATCGAAGAGAATTAAAACAAAAGATTCCACACATTTTTTAAGAGCATTAAAAACAATATATTGTTTCAATACTCGTAGCAATTTATAATAGTAAAATTCTTAATGTAGGAAGCGGACATTACAATCCACCAAAGAGAGCAAGCCCATAAGCTCTCAGAAATAGGCTTTAACTGGGGCATAAGAGCCGTTATGTAAACACTGACCCCATTGTAGCTAAGTTTGGTTTACACGCCGCTTTTTAGCAATATTCCAGCAACATCACGGCGGGGACACCAGAGAATTGGCTTTACACATTTGTACTTACAATGTAGGAATTATTCGAACCCGGAGTCTTCGGCGTGACGGAGCCAGCGCTTTAACCATTAGGCTACCTACGCCCCGTTATGTGAACAAACGCACAAACAAACCGAAGAGCTTCCCTAAAGGCAGCAATATTCTACTAGCGTTATTCACGTACTTCCAATATGATGATGAATATTTTCCATGATCTTTTAAACAATCACGTACCGCCAAACGAGATTTAAAGAATTCGGGATAATTTTTATGAAATTACCGCCATCATTACGAGCGTTTTGTGATTTGTTTGTCATCTATTTTCCTTTATAGCATCCATCGATAGGGAGAGTCTTCTTTGAGGTACGACCGCAGAAGATCCAGGTTAGAGATGAACCTTAAGTAACCCACAATTTGTCGTAAGAGGCGACTAACCCGGGACCGAGAGATTAGTCAGGCTCACTGGCTTGGCTGGACATTACGTCATCGGTTCCCATGCTACTATTTGATCACTGGATTGTCTGGTCCAGATTTGATTATTTTACAAGTCTGACGCCATATAGTTGAATATTGCCGCACGAGTGCGGCGTAAAACCAAAAGTCACTCACTCACCTCTTTGAGGTTATTGAAGGAAAGGACGAATGTAGACGA